TCCGTTGCCGGACACGGAAAAAAAAAAAAAAAAAAAAAAAAAAAAAAAAAAAAAAAAGAAAGAAAGCAAGTGAAAAGAAAACCACATAATTGGAGAAAAATTTTACAAATATTTATCTTAGAAGGAGCTTGTATCCAGAATATATAAAAAAAAGGTTACAACATGATAATAAAAAGAAAAATATCCCACTTTTTTAAAACTGGCAAAACATCCGAATACAGTTTTCTAAAGAAAATATACAACTGGCCAATAAGCACATCAAAAGATGTTTGACATCAGTAGACATCAGAGAAATGCAAATCAAATCCACAGCAAGATATCACTTCACACCCACTACCATGGCTATAATCACAAAGATGCATAAACAGGGTGTTATAAGGATATGGAGAAATTAAAACCCTCACACATGGCTGGCAAAACTGTACAATGGTGCAGCCACTTTGTAAACAGCCTGAAACTTCCTCGAATGATTCAGTGTAGAGTTATCATATGATCCAGGCATTCCACTCCTAGGTATATGCCAAGAGAAATAAAACTATGCATCCACACAAAACCTTGAATACAAATGGTCATAGCAGCATTATACACAATACTCCAAAGGTAGAACTAGCCAAGTGTCCATGAACTGATGAGTGAATAAACACAATGTGGGATATCCGTGTAAATAAACATTATTCAGTCATAAAAAGCCTTGGAGTACTGACACGTGCTACAACTTCGCATGAACCTTGAAAACATTATGCTAAGTGAAGGAGGCCAGTCACAAAGGACCCCATAATGTATGATACCCTTTTTATTAAATGTCCAAAATAAGGAGGTTTGTAGGAAAATAAAGTAGATTAATGGTTGCCTAGGGTTGGAGGGGGTGGAATAATTGGGGATGATGACTGAGGGATTTAGTTTTGGAGTAATGAAAGAGTTCTGCAATTGCCGTGATAATTGCAAAACTCTGAGTGTACTAAAATCCATCGAATCACACACTTTAAATGAGTGAGTTGTATGGCCTTTACACTATATCTCAATAAAACCTGTTAAAAAACAAATGTGCCATGACTTCAGATTCTCGTTAGGATATAGATGTTGCAACAGCCCAGTGCTCAACACAATGGCTAGGAGAAAGCCAGATAAACTATAAAAATCCTACTTTTGAAGGCATAACAGTTGTGGAAGCAATAATTAGATGAACTTGAATTTCATAAAGAGAATTCTAGGGCAGGGTTCTTGCTAATACTCAGTAGGGACTGATGGCCACACTTGGCCCACGTGGGGGACAGAGAAACCGGGGAAGTATTCGTTTGTCACTCACATGTATTAGTCCATTTATGTTGCTTATAACAAAATACTTGGAAGTGGGTAATTTATAAAGAAAATGAAATTTATTTCTTACAGTTTCTGAGGCTGGGAAGTCCAAAGTCCATCTGGTGGTGGTGACAGTGGCCCAGAGGTCTCATATTGCAAGAGGGTGGAAGCAGAGAGAGCAGAGAGACAGCAGGAAACAGACTCTCCTCTTCTTTTAAAGCCCTCGGTCTCATATTGCAAGAGGGTGGAAGCAGAGAGAGCAGAGAGACAGCAGGAAACAGACTCTCTTCTTTTAAAGCCCTTGGAACCACACCCCTGACCACCATTTTTAATCCATTCACTATGGCATGGTCCGCCCCTGGCCCCCCAAAATTCATGCCCTTTTCACATGCAAGTACAATCATTTCATCCCCATAATCTTAACCTGTTTCAACTGGAGAGTCCAAAGTTCAAAGTCCCATCTGTGAAATCAATACAAGTTATCTATTTCCAAGATACAGTGTTTGGACAAACATAGGGTACATATACCCATTATAAAAAACCAGTAACAGTAAGTCAGTCACTTTCCCTGAGATCTGTGTCATTCTAGCAAATTATCAAACCTGAAAGGCAGAGCGTTGTGGGAATCACCTGACTTCGTAGCCCAGTTGGACAAAAGCATGGGTAACCCGGGAACCTGATCCTTGCAAATGGTAAGTGAAGTGAGGGCAG